CAGGGTTATTAGATGGCAGGGCTAAAGGGTGACTGGAGGGCAGGCAGGCCCAGTCCTCAAGCCCTCCTAGACTGTGTGCTTATTACTTGTAAATGGCGCCTCCAGTGCCATTGATTATTTTGAGTGAAAAGCAGCACACATTCAGGTAGCATTTTCCAATTATACATATCTGAATAGTTGTCACCTTTCTCTTCTATAACATCCATTAGGGATTCTTCTCATTTTCTGACTCCTAGACTTAGAAGGCAAGCCCTCCTAGGGGTGTCTTCCTTTTAAATTCATTGAAGACATTTAGATTGATCAGTATGCAGGTTTTGGTGCTAAGTACATGGATGATTTCTGGATGCCCTTTATGTGGGGTATCGTTTTCACAGAATGACATGTAGCTGCCCTTCCCTCTCATGTTGCAGGCAAGTGGGACTTTAATAACGTCAGTCACTGTCTTGTAGCTTACAGGGTGAAATCTTTCTTCATCCACCTTAAACATTTGTATTCATTCAGGGAAGGAAAAAAAAATCCAACAACTTCTGTCTGGCTTGTGTGGCTTTTCCATCAGATGTGTGGCATTTCCAATGTTTTATGGCAAAACAAGACTTTTTCATGTCCATTTGTAAAAACTCTGCATAATGAATAAGGTTTGGTTGTTGATGTTGTAAGAGTAGTTGTCAAACCGACTTCGGTTGCCTAATGTGATGTAATGATGAAAAGTCAATTGTGGGTGATCTTCCAGAGGACCGAGTGTTTTTATTCTCTTTTATTCCTCCATAAGGTCTTCTTACTTCATGTCCTTTTTGTGGGACTTCTTAATGGGTGTCTGACAGTAGCAGTAATAGGTTGATAGTTTCAGACCTGTTCCAAGCATATGCTTTCACTCATCAAGCAATAAAGCAATGGGAGGATGGATTGATTAGCTTTATGGATGACCCATCTTCATTGGACATGACAGCTGTGGAAAGTCAAATCTATTTTACAGAGTCTGCCAACTTCTGGGTCCTGGCTGATCCCCACATCAAAACTGAGTGAGAAATCCTGAAATCTGGGAAGTGTGGTTGTTTCTAAACAAGCTGATGGGTTTTCCAGTACCTGTGAGGCTGTCTCTGTGTAGACTGTCTTTGTGCTTGGGGGTGTGTGCCTGCCTTTCTCCTATGATTTGCAGACCAGGCTTTTGGAAGAGCCCAGCAGCTACATGTTTTCAGTAAAACATGGTGCTTTTCTCTTGTAGGAAGTGTTTTAAAACTAAATTTGGGATCAGTGCAGCCATCTGAATGGCTTTGCACACAGATTTGCCTAGACCTGATGTCTGCATGTCACTGTGAGATGAATCCTATGACCAGAGAGGTCTTCTGTTTTCCTCAGAGCAAATCGGAGCCCTGGCCGGGCAGCACATTGTGCACGTGGCCTGCGGGGAGTCTCACAGCGTGGCCCTCAGCGACCAGGGACAGCTCTTCTCCTGGGGTGCTGGCAGTGATGGACAGCTGGGCCTCACCACTATAGAAGACGCAGTGACGGTACCAAGGTAAATTTTTAACAGGTTCAGGTTTCCTTAAGGCAGCTCCTTAGAGATGGTGCAACAAGGGTTGTTGGCCTTCCAGCCTGGAGTCAGTGGGAGCAGTTTCTCTCAGAGGGGCAGTAATTTGGCACTTCTCAAGTAGGGATGTAAGGGGGATACCTCCTCCTTTTCTGTACTCTACTGGTGCTCCATGAGCCCCCCTGGGATTTAGGCAAGTTCTCAGGAGGCTTGGGCAGGACAGGCCTTCTGTCCATGGGTGCTGTGTCATGGAAAAGAAAATCAGGATGTGCTTGGCTTCCTCAATGAAAAATGCCACCCTGGTTTGTGCAGAGCAAGGAGGTGCATGAGGGAGGACCCAAAAATAGAAACGCTGCATGTGATGCCCATCTTTATTTCAGTCCCTAGGAAGTCCTCTGAGATAGGAGATACATTTCAAGAACTGGAAAAAAATATATGAACTGGTACCTTCTGCAGTGTTGCCCAGTAGCAGCAAAGCTAAGCCAGCCTACTGCAGTTCTGAATAGTTGCTCAGAAACTTTAAAGTAGTTCTCAATTTGCTTAATTTACTTGCTTATTTAATGTGTCTTACCTGTGTCAGAACACGAATAGGGTTAAGTGCAAGGACGTGTGCATGGTGGCAGTGGCCAGCAGCAGACACCGAGGCTCTTCCATCCAAAGCAGTTCACAGATGATAAGTCTCAGCTTATCAGCATAATAAAGATAACCAGTCTCTTTGTACTTGATGGTGCTATATCATGCTGCATTAACAACAGATGTAGTCTGTCTTTTATTCGATCTGCCACTGCAGGTCCAGTGCAGAGCAGAAGTCTGGGACATCTATCTAGGGTGGCTGTCATTGTTGAAACAGTATTTAAAGGTGTCCTGGTTTCACTGGGGTAGAATCATAGAATTAATTCTCTCTCAGAAAAGCCGCATTTTTAAGACAACTGCAGCACCCTGTTTGGTGAGAACAAAGTTGATAAGACACTTTGTTTTAGTTTGTGGCCAGCCATGGTATGCAGGTTTCCACCGTGACCAAGGTCTTTAGCAGTTGCGGGTAAGCCAGGTGCTAAGGCCAGGAGGAGCCAACGCCAGGGCAGCTGACCCAAGCTGGCCAACAGAATTATTCCATACCATAAATGTCACGCTCACTATAAATTGGTGAGTTTGATAGGGACGAACCTTGTTCCTCAATGGCTGCCATCCCTGGAGAGTCTCGTCCATCATTCTGCTCCTGAGTCCTGCTCTCCTGCTTGCTGTGACTGTCATACTTTTGTCAGCTGAGTATAACTTTGTGTATTTTACATTAGTATGAATATTAGTTCTTATTATTATTTCATTAAATCTGTTTTCATTTCAACCCATGGGTCTCCTTTCCTTTTCCTGATTCCCATTTCCAGGTGAGGAGAGGTCACTGGGTGATACAACAACTGATTAAACCAAGACAAAAGGAAAGGAGTTAATGTTTGAGCTGAAGGGCTCTGTGGGAAGACAGTCCTTAACTTGCAGGTTGTTCTGATATAACAGAGAGAGACAGGCTCACATATTGTTGTGATAATGCCGTTTGAAAAGTAATGTTTTTGTGAGGTAACTTGAACCTTCTACATGCTTTCCTCTGTACAAAGCACTGAAGAGGTTTTGATGCTGTAACTCATAGGAACTGCTAGGCCTCTGGAAGCATGAAAAATCTTGACGCCTGAAAAAGAATAGTGTGAGAGAGACACCAAGACCAGCTGTTTTCACCATTTCCAGATGGCTGGATCCAGTGTTATGTCAGTAAGTGTAGTTGAAGTTAGTAGTCAAGTGTCTAAAGGTCTCTGCAGATTTGCATCTGTTATGTATGCATATGCATAACTTTCAAGACTCCGTTCCTCAATCTCAAAACCATAGGTTGTGTGTATGTGTAGGATGAACATCTGAATGGAAATAATAATTTTGACCTCGAGTGACACTATATTTGTGGGCAATTATTCTAAAATAGTGTCATCTTCTTTAGGTTGATAAAGAAATTGAACCAACAGACAATACTTCAGGTTTCCTGTGGAAATTGGCATTGCCTGGCTTTGGCAGCAGGTACTGTAACATTCATTATTTATTATCAAGGTTAGTGCTGTTATTTTGCACAGTGTCCAAGATTGTGTGTTTCTGCATAATAAACCAAGGGCATCCCTGTCCTGACTGCTTTCAGGCCAAATGGGAGGCTATAAAGTGGATCAGGTACCATGAATATTGAAGAAGAGCTTTGCCTATACTGTCAAGAAAGAAAACGTTATACACAGGCCGCCCACTGTCTCACTGGTGAATGATGGCAGGAACACTTAAAAGCTTTCCATCTTGATGTAGAAAAATGTGTGTAATTAATTCCTTTGTGTTGAAATTATCCTTGGCAATTACTCTTCTGGATGTAACACGTGGACCATTCTTTGTTACACTGTTTAGGTTGCAGCAGTCTGATACTATATTTTGCACTTAGTTGCGTGTCTGTTTATTTACCTGGTGGCTTCAAACTATGCTTTTATTTTGGCAAAGAGTGTCTTGCTTGATTTTTCCATCATGAGGCTTGGGTGGGAGCAAAAGGCCCCAGCACAGGTTTTTTTTTCATTTTGACAAACTTGCTTTTCTGTTAACTGGCTTTTAATCACTCTTATCTTTCTTTCCTTGTTTCAGATGGCCAGTTCTTCACATGGGGGCAGAACAGCTATGGTCAACTGGGGTTGGGTAAAGAATGTCCCTCCCAAGCCAGTCCACAACGTGTCAAGTCTCTTGATGGGATCCCTTTGGCTCAGGTTGCTGCAGGAGGAGCCCACAGTTTTGCCCTCTCTCTCTCAGGAGCTGTGTTTGGCTGGGGGAAGAACAGCTCAGGACAGCTGGGACTAAGTGATGAACGAGGTATTAAAATTATGCTCCTAGGTGAAAGAGGGATGGACTTTTTTGGCCTAATGTCTCTGTTCGCATTGACTATGTTTTTACTGAGTGAATATGTAACCCTCAGCAACTCCTCTTGGGAGGAGAGGACAGAGGAGCAGTCTCTGATAGACTCTGCAGACTTTTCATACTTAGTAGGAACAGATACACTTTTTTTCCTCTTCTGGATGTTAGTGGAAGTGAGGAAGGTCAAAAAGAAAGATCTTTCAAATGTAGGTGTCAAAATGCAGGCATTGAGCAAGTGCTCTGGTTCTTTCTTCCTCTTCTCAAAAATGCTTTGTCCATATTTTGTTTGAAGTTGATGTGGAGCAATGGCAGAACAGCAGGCTGAACCCATCCCCTTGTTTGTCAACGTATTTTTAGCTGGTGAGCACCTGTATGCTACAAAATGATGGCAACACAGAGTACCTCAGTATTGTAAAATGTTTTCTAGTTTATTGACTGCACAATTTTCCAGACACAGAGGGCCAGTGGCAGTTTTTTTCCAGGTGGCCATATTCCGTGAAGCTTAGCCATCAACAGACTTGAAGATAGGTTTATAAATGAGACTGAAGAGTGGATATGACATTACCACTAGTCTGAAAAGCCCAGATATCCCCTGCTTGTTGTTAACATATTCTTAACTTTTTTGCAAAAGCAAGTGAGTGAAAGATTTTCTACAGAGCTTTAGCTCAACCTCTTAATAGTTTTCTGAATAGTTGCTGAGTAGCTCTAAGTATCTAGGCAAGCTACTGAGTGTGGATGTGATACCTTCCATGAACAGATAATTTATTTTGCATGGGTGAGTACATGAGGTGTATACATTTGTAAATGTTAGGTTTTATAATATATGTTGCAAGAGAAAAGCAACATTCCCTCACATTTTGAGTACCTATAATGGAATTATGCATTTTGACAATCCACCCTACCAACTGAAACATGTATTTAAAGCCATTACTCAAAAACAGCCTTTAGTTTAGCAAAGGATACTCAAATGTTGTATGCATCATTTAATCTTGCTTTACACTTTTAGGAATATGAAACACAACTCTAAGATTTGTTGCATATCTTATGTTCTCTCAAAAATGCTCCAGGTCTATTATCTTGTACTATATGTAAGCTAGAGCTGATCTTGTATAAGAGCAGCCGTGTTCTTTCTGTGTAGTCTGGCAGATAAATGCTTCTAATTTCAATAGAGCTGCAGTTTATATGTGAGAGGATTGCTTTATTATGGGGCTAATCTTAGATTAACATACAAGGGACATTTACTTGTGGGGATGTGCTGGCCAGGGATCATACTCTGCTTACCCTCAATACATGACACTGTAGTAAATACTTTATATTTATGGTAAGTGAATCTTGGTAAGACAATGTCAGTTATACTTAGTGAACATGAACAGCAAAGTCTACGAACATGAGGTAGTCTGCAGCACTGTTATTTAAACAATTATGCTGTAGAGATAAGAAGTGTAGTTCCTGTCAAAAAAAAGATCAGAGTGCTAAAATACAGAACAAAGTAAATGAAAAATCTGCTCTCATTTCTAAATCCATGAAAATGTGACCGTTTTCCTTTCACTACCCAGAAAAAAGTGCCTATCAAATCCTGGGTGAGAGTCTTAAAAAATGGACAACTTCCATAGGTAGAAACCTGATTTTTTGCTGGTACGAAGTAAGCAGCTGCTCCCCTTAATATCTAACTATTCTGAGGTGCCTTGTGCTCCTTCAAATGCTTAGCTTTTGTTTTATTTTTACAACAGTAAAACATGTGACCTTGCTTAGTGTGTTCATCCTTGGGAGACCCACTTTTAATGATTAGAATGTCACAGTGAAGGAGAAAAGCATCATTTAATGGTTGGCAGAGATTAGCCTTTGCAAGTAGGAGGATCTTCTTAAAGGATGACAACAGAAGCTAGACATTTAAATACACCTTGGAATTCAACTTGTCCTGTGTGTTGCGCTGGCGTCTCCCACATGTCAGGATTGTTCTGTATAGAAAAGGTCTAAGCAAGGTTTTGGAAACAAATGTTTGCAGTTGTCATCGAGGAGTCTGGAATAGAGCACGAGGCTGAAGGTGGATGTAGCTAGGCTGCACTCGTCATACCTCCCAAACTGCAAGTGCATGTTGAGTTTACACAAGACTCTCAATATTTGCATTCTTGCTCTGGACAATTTCCTTTGAGCCAGGATGAGTGAGGAAAGCAGCAGTGAAGTACTCAAGGACACGTGTTTTTCCCCCCCATTGTTAAAGCTTCCATTGTGCACATAGATGACATCTGAAAATCAAACTGCCAGTGGTTTTTTTGGATGTTTATGTTTGTGTTTATGAATCAGCTCCTTTATTTTCTTTGTCTTCAATGCAGACCGAGAATCCCCTTGTCATGTGAAGCTGTTGCGGTCTCAGAAGGTTGTTTACATCAGCTGTGGAGAGGAACACACAGCAGTTCTGACAAAGGTACAGATGCTTACCTGGGAACCCTGGCTGCTATCTTGCCTGCCTTATGGTTTCACATTAGTTTCCTGGGTAATGGTAGAAAAGAACAGGTTGACTTATCGTATCCCATCCAACTCCAGTAAAATAAACTAAATGGAAAGTATAATCTTACTGTAATATTTTGAGATTCATTACCAACATGATCCATTGCTGTTTTTGAAGATGAAGATGTTAGTAATCCATGACAATGAATAGTAAAACTCAGGTGACTCACTCAAAGAAGTTAGCTTTGAGAAAAAAAATTAACAACCATACATCCAAAGGAGTGAAAATAGCATTTTGTTGGAAGATAAAAAGAGAGTGATATTGTGCATCAGAATAAAATGCAAGTCAAAATGAATGGGTGTTTAAATAAAACATAAGCAATCCCTCACAGCATTTACAAGAGGTTTTCCATTCCAAACTTGCTGTTTCCAAGTGGTGTATGGCTTAGTGGACAGAGGATAGGGCTAGGATTTGGTGGATCATTGCTCAGTTCTTGCCTTGCCTCTGCCACTTCCTAGATGTTGCTTCATTTTTTTAATGTCTCAGTGTTCTCCACTGTAAAATTAATTAAAACAGCTGACATTGGGATTCCTGTGGGAAAAACACTGTAGAAGATCAGTTATGTAGAAGCTTTTGTTCAAGGAAAAAGGTCACAGTCCTTTTGATCAGAGATGAGTGTAAAGTACTGTGGAAATGGGCACTACTCAGCCATGTTTAAACCTGCTGGGATTTCAGACTCATCTGGTGATGGCGGGGAAGCTGGACTAGTGTAGACCTACCTGAAGATAATTCTGTCAGTGTCTGGTAGGTGGTGCGATAGCTGTTTGGAAGCTGCATTATCAGAATCCAAGTTTCTTTTCTGAATCCTTTGGAAATCCCCAGCAATCTCTACCTAAGCTTGGGCTCGTACTGAAACTGGAGTCAGAAAGATACTGCTGGGTTATGGGTCCCTAAATGGAGAATATGCTGTTTGATTTGCTAACAGAGTGGAGGGGTGTTCACGTTCGGTGCAGGTTCCTGCGGGCAACTGGGACATGACTCCATGAATGATGAAGTGAACCCCCGAAGAGTTCTTGAGCTGATGGGCAGTGAAGTATCCCAGATTGCTTGTGGCAGGTGAGTCCTGTGTGCAGTCCGAGATTTTCTTTGGTGGAGGTTGATGCTGACACAGAGTCTTATAAATAGGGGGAATAGTCTTATTTCTGCATCCTAGTGTCAAAACTAAGTTAATTTAAATTCTACTTCCCATGAGAATTTTAACACCCTCTAAAGGAGGTTGTTTTTTAATTGGGGTTGTTCCCTGTGCTGTGACCTGGTAAAATATACCTTCCCATCTTAATAATTCAGCAAGACTTCAGACCAGCAGCCCCTTTGGTCACAAGTTTCCAGCCTCTTTCATGAAAAGAGAGTTATTAACACTGGTGCTGTGTTGTTGCTTTTTGATATGTACAGGCTTAGCAAATGACTAAGCTAATTCTGTCTGTGAGCCTGATACCAGCTGTATGCTGGCACATGCTGCTCTTTGTCCCTTCCACCTAAAGAGCTCCATCCCATAAACTGGTGCCATCAGGTGGCAAAAACTGAGCACTGGTGCTACTGTAAAGATACTGCTTTGCACCAGCTTCTGGCATAGAGGAACCAAGAATAAGTTTTAGGCTGAGGTGGTATTTTTGTTGTTTGTGGTTTTTTGTTTTGTTTTGTTTTAGTTGTTAAACAAGGCCCAAACTTTGTACCCCTCTCTGTTACAGGCGTCACACTTTAGCCTTTGTGCCTTCTTCAGGAATGATCTATGCATTTGGCTGTGGAACAAGAGGCCAGCTGGGAACAGGGCACACTTGCAATGTTAAGTGTCCCTCTCCTGTCAAGGGTCACTGGGCAGCTCACAATGGGCAACTCTCAGGGAAACCTGGTACGTACTCTGCATGACTTGGAGTCGCAAATGGACTTAAATAATTTCATTTCACCCCTGGCTCTCTAAAGACATCTTGACATTGTTCTGCGAAAGTTCTTGAAACAGGAAAAGAAACCTATGCTCCTGTCCCAAATGCACTGTGGAAATTACTGTGGGACTTCTTGCTCTCTCTGTTAACGTCTGCCCTCTCCCTTTCTCTTTTCATGGCAGAGCTCAACATTTGGCAGTCTTGAGCCGTCATGATACTGTACTAATACTGATTTCTGAGGGCTTTGATTTCTCTTTAAAACATCCATTGCAGTTTAAAAATTGCAACTTTTCCCTCCTGCCAGGCCCATCTCTCAAGAAAGTGCTACAGTGCTTGAGTTCCAACTGATTTCAGCCTGGTCTTCAAGGGAGCCAGGTGCTCCTTGTAGTGTAAAGCCTAAGACACTGGCAGTACAAATGTGGAGGAGAATCATAGAATCATTTGGTTGGAAAAGACCTTTAAGATCATCGCATCCAACCATACCTGTCCACTGCTAAACCATATCTCTGAGCACCTCATCTACCTGTCTTTTAAACACCCCCAGGGCTGGTGACTCAGCCGCCTCCCTGGGCAGCCCA